TAGTTTTGCCATATTGTTGTTCAAGTAATAAACTACCGTACCCCGTGATTCAAGACAAATCACTAAAAAGCTTGGGTTAACTTTTCTTTATCTTCTCATGCTATCTGCATCTATTTCAAATACTAAACAACATTCTATAGTTACCGGGGTATGTCACTTTTATTTTTCATAAGCTCCCATAATCATTACCAATGTTATTGTATTTCATATTTACAGGTTTTAAAAACAGGGTACATGAAAGGTTTATACACAAAAAATGAAATGGATTCACAAACAGCCGGAAAGGTGAGCCAGTTTCTTAAAGGCCCAATTCACTTGCCCCGGGCAAGTGTGAATTGGAGGTGTGGCTATTCTAATGCATGGTGTTAATCACTTGCATAGCCTATGACGCATCCTGTTTCAGCGGTCCAACATCACGTGACTTTGATTGACAGTAGTAATTATTCAAGATTAGTCGCGCATCCCTTTCCCCGGTTCATGTTTTTTACTTTTATTCGCCAAAATCTCAGCTCGTACACAATTTATTGTCATAAATATTACACACAGTCACTGCTGTGATATTCATAGACACATGCATCCACTTTGGCACGACATAATCGACGTGTAAGTTCGAGAAAACACGTTTTTACCGGAGCTTGGCTGGAGCTGTTTACTACAGCGTGACAAGCAAGGAAATAATCCCTATTGTTTAGGAGCGTATTTATAGTATACCTGGGCCTTTAAGCTAAGCACAGTAAAGTAACACTGATAGCAGTCATACACATGTTGTCCAGAATGTAAATAAAGCTTGGCAATTGGTGATTAGGCCCCTACTGTGCTAATAACGTTTGTTGAATCACTAATTTATTTATTTATTTTATTGCAGGACAAAGACAGTAAAATGGCTTATCTACAAAAAGCAATTGATGTTACTAGTAAGTTTTATAACTATTTTCACAATAATTGGCTGCATTTCTTTTGTCTTAGGTTTCTGCTAAACTTTCTTTTTTATTTTCACCTTCCCGAATTTACCTCCATTCATAACTGTTCACCTCCTATCTTTGAAAATTGATATTTTGTGAATAGATTTCTTAACATATAGCTATACAAAGACTTGTTTTGAAATAAAGGTGATTTTACTTTACATGTGTTATAGAGTTAAAATAACTTCCATACCCCACAAAAGTTCATGGTGTTCTGTTATTATTACATATGTTCTATAATATGGGGAATGGCAGTATCCCTACATTTGTAGTAAACCGTGGTTATGTGTATTATTATTATTTTTGTGTCCACTGAGTTGTGCAGCTGTATTGGGTAGAACACTGGCATCCAGTAGTCACTGTATGCACTGTGGCTGGTGAGTTTATCAGGTATTTCACTCGCCTTTGCCATCAGTGTTGTTCAATTTCCATTGGCTGATTGTAAAACCATACACCTGTATTAAGAGTTGTTGTCATGAACTGTATACCAAGATATAATAGAAAGGCGAGTTGTTTTTCATTTTATACAGTCTTCTATCGGTGTACGCTTTGTAGACTCTGATAGGGCATGTGTTTGGTTTTGAACATGTCGCTTTGGGTGAAAAGTGCCATACATTTGCTGGGACTCCTCTTGTTTGTGTTAGGCATTCATTGTATACCAGATGCTCACCAATTTCCAATTTGCTAAGGTTACATCACTCCACTTAATTTATCAATCATCTCAGATCTAGAAGTTTTGTATTGTTTAGCCAAATAGTGTTAAGAATTTATGGTTGCATTTATCTAACTCTTCTTATGTTTCCGCAGTAATGGTTACTGGCATAAATTTAGCAATCCGTCCATCAAAAGTAGTTGCTGGCCATGAAGCTGAACAAACTAATGAATTTCTACAGGCCATGGCTAAAGCCATCTCAGGAAAGGTAATAGTTTAATGTTTCCTATGAGATAATATTGATATATTGTTTGTTATAAAGGGGATGCATCTATCACACACTCAGTAACATGCTTTGACTATGCTAAAATAAAATATTTTGTATATCTAGATGGACAGCAAAGAAGCAGTTCAAAGAGTTTTAAAAGGAGAAAAGCCTGGTGCACCCAAAGGTGATAAGGAAGAGTCTAAAACAAGCAGTAAAGAGGAATCTAGCAAAGATAAACACAGAAATAAAGAGGTTTGTCCAATATTATTCAGGGGGATCTGTCTTATCAATTGTTATTAATATTACAGTAATAATAGATTTTATTCATCATTGTAGGTGACAGGCAAGGTATATGGGGGAAAAATCCTTGTCTCCTCGTTGGTTGTTTTCATCATTGACTCTGACATGACTACTTTTTTTGAAATCTGGCTAGTATTTGATTTTGTTCAAACACATTATTGCACTATTATTTGGGGATAAGGTATAAGGGCATTGAGATTTATACAGTATATGTAGTATAAATTAAAAAAAAACCATGTTGGCTAGTAATTTTGTTTAGATATGTTTGCTCTACTATTATTTTTTGGGAATTTTTATAGAATCAATATTATTCTATAAAGAAAGTTAAGATTAATACAGAACATGTAGTATTATTATTTAATTAATTTGTTTATGTAATTATGATAATATTTTTAGTCTGTGTTTTCCTAGCAAAATGCTTAGATAATATATTGCATTATTTCAGGACTTTTATACTCACTTCTAATATGCAAATAAAGATATTGCATCATTAGTTTGTTATCTATCCATTTGTTATTTAAACTAGGTTCTCAATGGACAAGGTTGTAATAGTTATGCTATGTTTATCCTATCAAACCCTAAATTGATATGTTATTACAGAAAGATAAAAATGACAGGCGGTCTGGCAGCAAGGATAGAGACAGGAGTAAGGACAGGGAAAAAAGCAAAGACAGAGAGAGAGAAAAAGACCGACACAAGGAAGACAAAGAAGAGAAGAAGAGACAAAGAGGAGAGAAGAGACCGAGACAGACACAAGGAGGATAGAGATGGTAGGAAAGATAGAGAAGATCGCAAGGATCGGGAAGATCGAAGAGATAGAGATGACAGAAAAGATAAAGACAGGCGGCATCGAGATCGGGATCGTGGCAGAGAAAGACGGGTATGACTTCCTTGTTGTTTCTGTTAAGATAATGATTTTGCCAGCTTTCAATTAGTTAATCAAAATATGTGTCGTCCTGTCACTGTATTGTTGATCGATATCAGTCATTGAGTCTTAGTACAATGTTTGTTTTAGTATGTGATTAGTTTATTCCATGTAATTAATGTGTTGTTTCATGTTATCATGTCACTGTCATTCTAAATTCATGTGTACATCAAAACTTAAAGTGTCATGTGTCAGTCACTTGCATGTGATCACCTGCAAACTATTTAATATTAGATGTTGTCACTTATAACTTGAGTTGTTAGGACTGTAAGGTGCGTGTGATTGTAACTCATGTCACAGATTATAGGTTTTATAGTTATGCCTCTAGAGGGCGCCATTACAAACCAGCTGAATGCGAGATGAGAGCATTTCTTTTACAGTGCATCCGCTGAATTTGGTGTGTGTGTGCTGTTGATGAGAGACATTTCATTTTTTCATGTTTATCATTTTTCCAGCACAAGAGAGAGGAAGAAGAAATGTCTAAACAAAATGATGAGGAGGTTTGTACGCATTGTGTCTTATGGTTGTGTAGGTTTTATCCACTCTACAACTGAGTTCTATTTCATACATCATTAGTTCTGGATGAAATTTAAAAAAAAAACTACTGAAAACTTTTTAAAAATTAAAAATGTGCTGTTATTTTTTACCAAAAAGTTAATAATCTTATCATTGCAATGACTGCAATTGTAGAGTTACTATCGGTTACAAACAGCTAGATTTATAAAAGCAAAGCTGAGATGAAATCTGCTACTTAAGTGATCTTTAAAAAAAATGTTTGGAGAGTCGCACATTGTGCACATTATCCATTGTGTTAACACAAAATTATCCTTAACTTTTTGAATACTGGTGCAGCTTGCATCGATGTAAATCTTTATAGTGAGAACAAGTTGTAAATGAACAATCATTAAAATTAGATCAACATATATTTCAATATTTTTCATCATAATTGCAAAAAGATTTGTTTGTTTGTATGTATGTGTTCACTTCATCGATATTACATGTCTACAGTACAGTCTGGGTGTAACTTAACTTTCACGCTGACTATCAGCTGACTTTGCCGTTTTATAAAAACGAATAATTTATAATGTGAGTAGCATCGTCATCAATAATTTCAACTTACTGTAGTGTTTATTTATGTTAGTAATACAAGACATATTTAGGCAGAGTACTCTCTAGATATGCCTCAGTTTTAATAGCAATCTAGCTGAATTTTAGGTTATGCTCAGACTGTACTGTAAATAACATATTAATATTCACTTGACATCAGCACCACTAACTTTCATTTTACTCCTCATTGATGACAGGATGTAGCACCTCCTCAAAAAGGAGAAGGAGGCGTAGTGAGTAATGAGGTAATTCAATGTGTTATAGACGATTACTAATATTGTGTTGCACTTTTATTCATGATAGCACTTGGTTGTTATTTATTTGAATACTAATATGCACATGCTGGAGTAATCTTGTCAATGTTGCTTTCTTACACAAATAAGAGACATTAGAAATTACATGATATAAATGTATGCTGAATGTCTTTGTTTTCAAGGAGTTTAATTCTGCTTACTGTATTTAATATTTGGGCAAAGGCACTAAACTTTAAAATCTCTATCATGAATGTGATATGAAATTTGTATGTTCTATTCTAAATTTACATTTGACTGATTATCAAAAAGACCAAAATAATTACTATCTTGATGATTAATGCGTTGATATATTTTACTGTATTTCAAACACTTCTACTGGCTTGGTAACTGCAGCATGTGAGCCCAAAAGTAGTGAATGGTAGTGAAAATGAAATTCTCACAACCCTTTTCAGCTCCGCTGTCGACTTTGTCGAGCGGAGCTTATCATATGAGTGATTGTCCGTCGGCGTCCGTCGTCCGTGTCAATGTTTTACTTTTTCGACTTCTTCTTGAAAACTACAAGCCTACTACCTTGGGTAGACCTCTCTCAGATTTGTTCATTTCGTGATGATATCTTTAATTCTCTAATTTTGGTGAATATTTTTGTAATTTTTGGTAAAAAGTGATATTTTCGACTTCTTGTTGAAAACCACAAGTCCAATTGCTTTATTACATATATAGGTACTACATGTGTACCTCTCTCAGATTTGTTCATTTTGTAATGATATCTTTAATTCTCTAATTTTGGTGAATATTTTTGTAATTTTTGGTAAAAGGTGATATTTTCCACTTCTTGTTGAAAACCACAAGTCCAATTGCTTTGTTATTACATGTATAGGTACTACATGTGTACCTCTCTCAGATTTGTTCATTTTGTAATGATATCTTTAATTCTCTAATTTTGGTGAATATTTTTGTAATTTTTGGTAAAAGGTGATATTTTCCACTTCTTGTTGAAAACCGCAAGTCTAATTGCTTTAATACTATACATATTGTTCATTTTCTTATGATATCTTCTGTTCTTTAATTAAAATGTGCATTGATCATAGCAGAGCTATCTCAGGCGACAGGGTGCTTGTTTTCAAGTTGAAGCCTCTCTAAATTTCATTGTTTGACTCAAGCCTGCTCAAAATGACCAGTATTTGAAGCTTAAAATCTCAAATACGCATTATCTTGTAAGTTTGGCTACAAAGTCTTTTCAATTTGTCAAGGAAAGTTAGGTTCAGGACATATGTTACTATTCACTACCATTCATGATCACTTTGTGCTTTGTGGTCTTTATCTGTATCTAATACTATGAATTGTACCAGCATATGTCTGGTGTTCAGTTATTTATATGTTCTATGTCTAAGCACAGTTATATTTCTGTTCAAATCATTGCATCTCGCAGCACTTGGTGTCTTTTATGGTATAGTACAGTGTTGTAAATATTACTATGTGTAAATTGCATATATTATTGTAAGTGTAGATGTGTATAGATTCCTTGGTTCATTGTTTATATGTTGCAAATATGCAAATTAGATTGTTGCATTCCATGTTGTATTATTATGCATTATGAGAAAACTTGTTTCTACCCAACATGTTATGTGCCTCGGTTAGAGATTATTGGAATGAACAATGATAGTCTGGTATCAGCTATCCCCATTATTTCTGTTTAACATAGTAATACACTGACCATAGCCCAGAAATATATAT